CAAATATGATCATTAGATCTTTTTTTTTTTAATTTGTCCCATTTACAAAATATGGAAATACAATAAATGTGTTTTATTTCTTGCAAATATATTAAACTCTAGGCAAGTTCTTCTTAAGAGTTTAATTATTTAGAGCTTCAGGAAACATTTTGAGGAAAGAATGCTTTATAATCTCACTGGAACTGTTGCAGTTTATACATAAATCATTGCAAATTATTTTGTGAACGCATATACATTTATCCATTTTAAATCGCAGCCAGGTGTTGCTGCACAGCCGCATCCTGAGAGAAAATGGAAAATATCTTCCCAAACAGGTATTGATTACTTTATGAATAACAGTTCCCAGCATATTTGAATTGAATACATTTATAAAACTCCATTTACTTGTTTGTGTCAATGATCAATAATGCTGTCCCATTTCAGTCATTTGCCATGCGAAAACACTATTTCAACAACCCTGAGACTGGATTCTTCAAGAAGGTCAAAAGAAAGGTGATCCCCAAAAACCCCATGACCGGTAAGAGCTACTTTAACATCCTAAAATTAGAAGGAATGACTTACTATGCTTCATCATATTCATAACATCTTGCATCACCTGTCCCAGACACCAGCATGTTGACGGACATGATGAAAGGGAACCTGACCAATGTGCTGCCAATGATTCTGATTGGAGGATGGATCAACTGGGCCTTTTCTGGTTTTGTCACAAGTAAGAGCTTTTGTTATTTGTCAGAATTAGAGGAATAGTTCACCCAAAAATGAGGATTTGCTGAAAATGTACTCACCAACAGGCCAAGACGTAGTTTGTTTCATCATGGGAACAGATTTGGAGAAATGCAGCATTACATCACTTGCTCACCAATGGATCCTCTGCAGTGAATGGGTGCCGTCAGAATGAGAGCTGATAAAAACATCACATTAATCCACAAGCAGTCCACACCACTCCAGTCCATCAGTTAGTGATGTCTTGAGAGAAAGCTTCATGTTTGTAAGAAACAAATCCATCATGTAGGCATTTCATCTTTAAACCATTGCTGTAGTCCATAATCTACAATAACAAGAAAATCCAAGCTCACTGTGGAAAGTGATATTATGGATAGAGAACTTATTTTAGCTGAAAGCAACGATTTAAAGTTTAAAAACATCTGAGTGATGAATTTGTTTCTTGCAAACACATAGCTTTTCGCTTCACAAGACATTAATTGATGGACTGGAGAAGATTATTATGATGTTTTTATCAGCTGTTTGGACTCTCGTTCTGACGGCACCCATTCACTGCAGAGGATCCATTGCTGAGCAAGTGATGTAATGCTACATTTCTCCAAATCTGATCTGATGAAGAAACAAACTCATCTACATCTTGGATGGCCTCAGGGTGAGTAAATGTTGAGCAACTCCGTTAAAACTATAAACTATAAAAAGGATCTAGTGAGCATGTGTGAATGTGGTCTTCTTTCTAAAACAATCATTTGTAAGTGTGATTGAATTCAGGGGTGTAGGAAGCATCTGAAATGTGAAGGGAGACATTCTAAACCTTAACAGCCGGCTCATGAATTTTAATTGGGTGATGTAACGTTTAGCCAGTGCATTCATAACTAATTTTCTGAAAGGCTGACGTTGGTGAGTGGGCTCCAACCATAGTAGGATTACCACATATGCGTTTGTTCAGTCCACTGCTGATGCAAGTTATTGACGGAGGCTTCTGTTCTCTCTTAAAGCAGCTACATTTGCCTTTTTTACCAAACAAAAATATAATGACTATTAGAGGATGACTTGGAAATGTCTAAAAGTTGTAGCGGCTGCTATTTATCTGATTAAATCTCAAGTGAATGCTATTTGAAAAAAAGTAAGCTTGTAAGAGTTTAAATGAATTGTTACCAAAGTCCGTTTTTTTTGTGCTGCTTGTTTCCCCTTCAGCTAAAGTTCCGTTTCCTCTGACTCTGAGATTCAAGCCCATGTTACAGAGAGGAATTGAGCTGATCTCTCTAGACGCATCCTGGTACAGTATTCACATGTGATGTGTTTGATTTGTTGCCAGAAGCTGAAAACGGTGAATAAAATCTGAATTTGTTGCTCGTATAGGGTCAGTTCAGCATCATGGTATTTTCTCAATGTGTTTGGGCTCAGAAGCATGTACACACTCATCCTTGGACAAGACAATGGTTGGTTGTTTCTGATATTTAGACCTTTTTATGACTTCAGTCATAAAATAATATGCATTATTTTAATATAATAAAATAGTTATATAATTCAATGAATATGACTATATTTAGATTACAATTACCTAATGTGTTGTATTGTATTAAATGCTATATTAATATCTGTGAAATTCAGATTACTTTCTCAGCTATTTAAACCAAAAGTTGTTTATTTTCAGGTGCAGATCAATCAAGAATTATGCAGAGTCAAATGACGGGAGCCGCAATGGCGATGTCTCCTGATCCTAATAAAGCATTTAAGGTGAGTAGAACATCATGTGCATAAATTAAACCATTTATCTGTGACCCTGGACCACAGTCATAAGGGTCAATTTTTTGAAATTGAGATTTATTACACTGAATAAATAAGCTTTCCATTGATGTGTGGTTTGTTAGGATACGACAATATTTGGCTGAGATACAACTATTTGAAAATCTGGAATCTGAGGGTGCAAAAAAAAAATCTAAATATTGAGAAAATCGCCTTTAAAGTTGTCCAAATGAAGTTCTTAGCAATGCATATTACTAATCAAAAATTAAGTTTTTATATATTTATGGTAGGAAATTTACAAAATACTTTCTTTACTTAATATCCTAATGATTTCTGGCATAAAAGAAAAGTCGATAATTTTGACCCATACAATGTATTTTTGGCTATTGCTACAAATATACCCCAGCGACTTAAGACTGCTTTTGTGCTCAAGGGTCACATACGTGATGTAAATCATTCTCATTTTATGAATTTATTCTGGGACAAACATGCACATCTGCGAGAAAAAAAAAACCACATGCCAGCAGTTATTTGTGTTTAACACAAATTTAGTTAAAGTTAATTGTTTTTGGGAATTCAGCGCCTACAGCCCCAGTGGACAGACTGATGCATGCAACAGCAGTGCCGATGTGCAAACGTGGTTGTTTTAATTTCATAACCTCATCATCTTAGGATAATTGCGAAACCTTAAACGTTGCCGTTTTGAAGCTCACATAATTACAGGACTATTGAAACATTATATTTCTTGAGGAATGCAGATAGTGTTGGGTGCAGTGAGTCAGTTCAGTCCTCAAACAGGAATAATTATATACTTGGAGAGAGAGATAATGTGGTCATCGTTTACTTACCCTCATGCTGTTGTTGTTGTAAACCCGTCTGGCTTTCTTTCTCCTGCAGAACACAAAAGGAGATGTTTAGCAGAATGTTCACACTCTTCTCAGATGTGTAAAGCTCTAAACGTATTCATTACCGTTGTTTCAGAGCGAGTGGGAAGCTCTGGAGATTGTGGAGCACAAATGGGCCCTGGAGAACGTAGAGGAGGAACTCGTGTGTCAGGATCTGAACTTCAGAGGACTCTTTAGCTAAGAACTACAGTAAAAACTGACGACTGTCTGATTGCAAATCACCAGTGCTGTTAAGATGGTTTAATTCACAAGCAGATGGGATTCTTAACACATGACATCTACAATATGTCCGACATGTTTTTGTGAACTGTGAGCGTTGCACATGATCATTTAATTTGTTGTAAGCACAGTATAGATCTAAATGTTTTTTTTTTTTCCATTTTTGCCAGAGGTGTTAATATACAGAATTTCTCATGTCTTAATTGTGTATTTATGTGTGATGCCTGTTTCTAAAGTGTTCTTAAAATGTCAGTCTCTATCTGGCAGATTTTCTCTAGTGTGGTTTGTAATTGTAACAAGTTATTTATTTACAAGCCATTATTTCAGTCAGAGAGATATTATAACAGCAAATTGAATGTAAAACAGATACTATTTTGGTAACTGTACAAGAGATATTTAATAATTGAATAAACATTATATGGAACCCTAAGGTAAGGAGGAAATCAGTTTGTGTCTTTGAGTCAGATGAGAGGAAATGGTTGGTTTGTCTAATGTTTGTGAATCACACAGAGGTGAGTCAAATGTTTAACACTTACACTGAAAATACTACATACTCGATATTCAAAACTCCAAAGCTTTTATTTGAGAACTTATAATGTTTAATTTCTATACAAAAAATGCCCCCCACAATGCAAAATCACAAATTTGATGTGTTATACTGTGAAATGGGCGTTTAGAAATTTGTGTAGCATTGACAGACTATTTCTCAAACCAATTGAATTGCTGTAATATTTCAGTTATTTACAGCTGACCATCTGATGGATTTCACTGGAATAATACAAGCATGATCGGCAGGTCACACAGTAGCTCTGATAAATATCTGATTGTAATATTATAAACATGCTGCATTTAAGAAATTAAGCTGTGCTGTATGTGGCTTTCTGAAGCTGTTGGTTCCAGCACTAGTAAATTGTTTTAGAAATAAATGCTAGAATGAAGCCATTCAATTACTGTAAAATAGTCAAAACTGAAGCTCTTTTTAAACGGATCATCGCATTCATTAAACCTTGTACAAAATGGAAGACTGCAGATGAGTTATCATTATATTTGTAAAGCAGACCACAAGAAATTTCCCACCAGCTCTTTGTCACAGGTTCGTAAATCTCACAAATCCAGGCAAGAACATAACTGGTCATTTTTAATTTACAAATACTATCATGATGTATAGACATTTTCATACAAACAGAATTTTGGAATGCTAAAATGTCATGAAAATGTCTTTTACGAATAAAAAAATATTTCATTTTGTTTTTGATGTATTTTGTTCTGGACAGGTTTGTGTTATTATATTAGAACATACTGAAGGTATTAAGTGCTCCACTCACATACAGTGATATATTTATATAAATCTCAGGTTACACTTTACTTGAAGGGGTGTGCATAAGACTGGCATGACACCATAGGACGATTAACTGCGTCCATTAAAATCTAAGGAATGCAATAAAGCAGTCACTTAATGGGAAGTGCAAATGAAAAAGCATTTTCTATAAGATCTTTACGCAGCGGGCCAAATGAATTACAACACTGAGCAGCTGAGAAATGTTAATATGAACCGAGATCACCAAAACAATGTAAATGGAAGCCAAATGTGTCCAATCTAACCTCGACTTTATAGTCAGCATTTATTCATATCAAAAGATGTGTATACAATTATATATTCAATCTATAATTAACAAAATAAAATGAAAGCTCCCACATTCCCAGCATCTGATCCAAATGATCAAAGATAATACAACATTTATTACAATACAAAAATACTGTACAGAGGTGCCTTAAAAATCATCACGTAAAGAGCTCTATCCAGAAAGCACTTTGCTGAAATATTCTCATTGCTCCAAAGAGTTCGTTATAAATTGCACGCAAATAGTCAAAAAGAATGTAATATTTAAATCTTGCTGTGCACTTCCTTGCGATTAAGATAAAAAAGCTAATTCTCACTGGAAAACAGGCCTCCGTTTGTGTCCCGCAACAGAGTGGCTTTTCCCAGACCTCACGACAGACGGAAAAAAAAATAGTTACAAGAATGAAAATAAAAATGGAAGATCTTTAGAAGCCGCTCTTTAGAATTACAATCTCTCACTCCACATTAGCATCTAGCAATTACGAAAATAAATAGTTCACGAGTGAGTGGAGAGAAAGCTATATCTCATTTACCTCCACCTAAGATCTCAGAAATCTGAAGCAGGATTTCTGAACATGACATCCCTGATATGAGAAACCTCAACCATCCCTGCTGAAAGCGCCCATGATGAATGTCGGTGCTTGAAACAATGAGATGGAATAAACTGATTCATGATGCCAAACAGTGCAGCTGAAGGTTGTACGTTCAGATCAAACATCACCACTGTGGACAGCAGCTGAGCTAGCTCAGGAAAAAATAAAGAACACGTCGGTGATGATGGAACTGCGGCGCAAACCTCATTCTCCGAATTCTCATCGTCACTGAAGCGCCACAGACAAATCAGTGCGCGATCTCTGAATCCGCCGCTACCAGCCTAACCCGTTTCCTTGAGTTTGTCATACAGAAACAAAAAAACACATAAATTTACATTCCCACCCCATGATGCTCGTGCACCAGCCTGAGAGAGGTGCCCCTGCCTCGCACTTCCTGTCGGAGTCAGAGCAGAGGCGGAGGTTCAAGTTTCTGTTGATTAAGATGATCGGCAGTATGCGAGAAAAGATAACAGAAATGGACAGAAATCAGTCCGTCTCCATGCTGACACAGGAAGAGGCTCCATCCATGCCATCGTGGGTCTGGGATGAGACGTGGTTCTCGGGCTGGCTGGAGGAGGGGATGGGTGGAGGGACGCTGGGCTGGCGGATCTTGTCTTGGCGCTGGTAGAACAGGAGGTAGGCGGCACTGGTCTACAGGAATAGAGGGAGAGTAAACATTACAGTGACCAGTGACTGACAAACCTATTGTATTTACAATACCATTCAAAAGTTTGAGTTCGGCAAGTTTTTTTTTCATGTTTTTGAAAAGTATGTCATGCTTACCAAGGCTGCATTTATTTGATCAAATAATACAGTAAAAAAAGAAATATTATTACAATTTCAAATCACTGTTTTCTATTCAAATACATTTTAAAATGTCATTTATTCTTGTGACTCCAGTCTTAAGTGTCACATGATCCTTCAGAAATCATTCTTAGAAACATTTCTTATTAATATGAATGTTAAAATAACCCCGTAGCAGATCTACACAGGTGGAGCTGGGAAAGGCGGAGGGTTTCAGAGAACTCTGAAAGCGCGCTGCTGGAATCTCAAGAGAATGCTAGCCAGCCATATAAATGCAAGGCAGTAAGCTCAATGGCTGCATATGCAGCATGAACCAATCAGCTTGTGCCAAGTCTTTTAACTCTCTGAATACCATCAGTTACGTTAACACCCCGTCAGCCTGTGCCATCTAGAGTTTCAGATCTTGGAAAATGCTAACTTTAGCCTGATAGCACTGAAAGCGAACGTCCCACCCTCCCTGCAATCGCAGTCCAAAGCCACGCCCCCAGAAACGTATTTAGGCTCACAGACCAGGGACAACATTACTACAATAGGCTACATCAGGTTTCCAATTCCAGCCCATGTTCCGAATTGAAGTAAACTTCCACGGATTTCCCCCGCTCAGGGAGTAGGGAGCAGTGAACACTGTGTAGGGTTCATATAGATCGGAACACAGTTCATGGACGTAGCTCACTTCTAACGAGCTGGCGCGAGGACTGGATTAATCGCTGGGCTACATCATGTGTCATTCACCGGTGAGAAAACTTTAAAAGTACTACAATACCAGGAAGGAAGATCGGGTTGTTGATGTTTGCCTGCCATCCTCGCTCTGTCTGCACAGTGTGCGTGAACACGCTGATGATGTATCCTGTCTGCACGAACAGGGTGCGCAGAGGTATGCTAATACATACGTTGACAGGCAGGTAGGAAAGCATATTAAAATGCTTGGACCAAGCGTTTTGATTGGACAAACATTTCTTGATCCTACGGCTTCCACAGAATATATAAATACAGACAAATACATTTAGACCACTTAACTTAATGATCGCTATCGGGATGTGAAGAGACTTTCAACCAGCATAACAAAAAATGTTTCTGAAGACAATCACCTATTGCACCTTTAATGTCTTGAAAAAAAAACATACTGACCCCATATTGTGCTTATTAAATTGTTTGGTTTGTTTAGACGTACTTTCGTAAATCTCCACTATAGCACTATATAGTAAACTTATGAATTGTATTTTCAATGATATTATAGTCAATTCCCAATTCTCAAATTATGCCTGGACATCACATGATCTCAATCTGGCAACCACCATGAGTTTATGTAGAATAAAACACTCTCCACTGATATGACCATTTCTTGTGGACATCATTTTAAACAGATAAGTCTTTGACACATGTGGCCCAGTTATTTCAGAGGTTGAGAAAGTTATTGCATTTTAAGGAAAAACAAACATTTCATTTTAGAAGAGCGTGCACTGATGAATCATGTGCGGCAACACCAAGGAAATTTTATAAAAAACATAAAAAGTCTATTTTGATTTCATGTTGATAAAGCACACCACGGAAATGTGCATTAATCTCACCACTATTTGTTCCTCCCTTGCATAGGTCACCTTGCTGTCGTCAAAGTAATACCACTGACCGTTGTCCTTGTTCCGGGCATAACTAGTATCTAGAAAGAAGGAGGAAAAAGGAAAATGTTTGTGCAATGTTATTGTCACTAATCAAAAGAGAAATGCTGTTTAATGAAGGCTAAGAAGACTGATGCATACAGTGTCCATCTCGGAGTCCGCCGTAGTGGTTGGACACGGAGATCAGGTCATATCTACAGGGAGGTTCAGTACTGTTCACTGTCTTCTTTAGGAGGAAACCTGAGAAGTCTAGATCCCTGCAGTCAGAGAAAGAGAGCTGCTTTTCACCAGAGCAATAACAACACACGAACCACATGAAAATGTAATAGTCTGAGTATCAACCATTGAAAGAAAAAAATATAAAGGTTGCCCATCGATTTAAATATTGTAATAAATAAAATAAATAAATAAATAAATAAAAGCATTTATAATTGCACACTACCATTTTCTTTTTTGAAAGACATTACAAATTTTATTCAGCAAGGACACAATAAACTGATCACAAATTACAGTAAAGATTTACAATATTATAAAAGATGTCCATTTCAAATAATTGCGGTTATATTTAATTTACTATATATTAACAATTCTTGAAAAAATGTATCATGGTATCCACAAAAATATTAAATAACACAACTGTTTTCAATAATAATCAGAAATGTTTCTTAAGCAGCAAATCGGCATATAAGAATGATTACTGAATGATCATGTGACACTAAAGTAATGATACTGAAAATTCAGCTTTGCATCACACACACATTACATTTGACAATATATTCAAATAGAAAAGTTATATTAAATTGTAATTATATTTCACAGTATTACTGTTTTTACTCTATTTTTCATTAAATAAATATAACCTTGGTGAGCATAAGAGACTTCTTTCAAAAACATGTAAAAATGTTACCAACCCAAATTTTTTAACACTAGTGTATGTATGTCTTCATCTTACCGCAGGGGGAACTCCACGATGGTATCCAGTTTCTCTCGAGAGTATTTTGTGTAGGAGAAGCGCTTTAAATGGATGATAAGAACCTCAGGCAAAGACCACAGATCCAATTTCTTAGTGGCAAGCTGATGCTTTTTACATGTTGGACAATACCTACAGACCACATAAACAAACACTGAGTTACATGTGCGGAGGAAGCAATCCAGTTCTTTAAATACACCACTAGGAATTATGAAACAGATGGTTATGGCTCTAAATTAGCCAACAAACACAAAAGGTTTCTCTTTCTTCATGCGTATGAAGGATAGACTGGAATAAAAGGCTAGAATCTTTGTAGTAGTAGACATTACCAAGGGTTTTCCTCTTCCAGTGTCTCTACCGTGGTAAAGAGCTCTATACATTCCTGCAGCTGCACTGTGATTTGCTGGTGAGGGACATCCATGCTCTGATGCTTTATATATTTCTGCATAAACATAAAAAACACGTTTGCAACAGAAATGCTGCAGTTTGCATAGCTCGAAAAGACTCAAGGTTAAGTTCTATAACAAAAGATTACAGAAATAATGGATTTGGATATTTATTCAATTAAATGATCAAATTAATACTGCATTTAAGAATATTTTGCATATTAAAAAGCTTTAAAAAAATCACTTGTGATAGCAGACCAGTGGTTCCTGACTGGTGAGCACAAGATTTTGTCAAATTTAAGCATGTGTGTTTATATTTATGTACATAATAAACTCTGGTGCTGTGTTGCTAAAGAACAATAAATTGAGAAAGAAAAGCTTCAGTGCTGGTTTAAAACACCTAATATTTAGTAATGTTATTGATTTTACTGCACTGACATTATCGGATAAGAACAAAACTTTAACTGAATTAAGCAGAATAATGAAAATATTGTCTTCTGTAGAGCTGCTGTAAAGCTGAATTGAATTAGTTTCATAATTAATGAATGATACTGTTATTTAACTGAACTGAATCAATTGAACTGACTCGATCTGGATAACGACACTATGCCTTCTGTAGAGCTTCTTATAGCTAAACTGAACTTGTTTCACAACTGAGCAGCTTTACACCGTTATTGAACTGAATCAACACTGAACTGACCACAGCTGAATAATGACACACTATTGTCTTTATAGAAATGCTTTACAGCAGAATTTGCATTTCATCACTTCTGTTATTTTCCTGTGCATTACTGTGAAGTTGCTTTGAAACAATCTGTATTGTATAAAGCACTACACAAGTGAAGGTGACTTAAATTGACTGCGGTGATGTAATACAGACGCATCACTGCAATAGGAGCAATACTTTAAAATGAGCATGACACAAAACTTCTAATGGAATAGACTGGATTGAGCCTTGTATGAGAGATTGCATTCATTTCCTAGTGCAACAACAGACGAAAAGCATTTTTAAGGATCAAAGAGTTCATTAGCAATCTTACCTCGGCTTCATTCTCATTGTAGTACTTTTTCTTCATGTCAGGGTCCCAGTCGATGGCGATGTATGGCTGAGCTAAACAGAAACAGTGAGTCATGCCATTAAGAGCAGGAACATTTATACTTATGAACACTCGGAGTTAAAAGATACCATGACTATGAAAAGATGCGAATTGAGCAGCCGGAGAGATAAAAGACAAGCAATCTCAATTTGTTATGACCCTCGCTTGTGTGCACATGACCCTGAAGTTGTACAAAAGCATCAGAAGTGTCTGTAATAAATTGAGTTTCTCATTAGTATGTACTCACAGCTGAAAGAGAAGCCACCGTCTGCCTCTCCCATCCCTCGCTCCGTGGTGCCATTAGAGTTCACCGCCTGAATGGTAAAGAGGGCTTTTTTCTGCCTCTCAGTGTAGCGCCGTCTTCCCGGAAGCCTCTTGTTTGCCTGAGCACAAGATGCGGCCTCCTCTTCTTCTTCCTCGTCCTCATCTTCGTCCTCTTCCTCCTTTCCCGAAGGTTCCACGCCAGCACTTTGGTCCCCGTCAGTGGCATCTTGGGAGTTGGTGTCAGTGCTGCCGCTTGCTGATTGGCCCTCCTCGGTACTGCTGCCCCGGTCCGGTTCGCTGCTCGACTCCTCCTCCTCAGCTCTCTCCTCCCCCTCACTGCTCGGGCTGGCTTCTGATTGGCAGTTGTTCTGCTCTTCGGCCTGGCCGCTTTTTTGAGTCTCTTCCTCTTTCTTGGATGGCCCTGCCTCCTCAGAGTCTTCCTCGCCCTCATCTGTTCAGAAATGAATCATTGTTTGTACACAAAATGTTTGGGGTCATTTAAAGTTTTTGAAAGAAGTCTCTTATACTCATCAAAACTGTATTTATTTGATAAAAAATACAGTAGAATAACAGTAATGTGAAATATTATGACCATTTAAAATAACTGTTTTTATTTAAATATATCTAAAAATGTAATTTATTCCTGTGAATTTTCAGCATCGTTACTCCAGTCTTCAGTGTCACATTATCCTTCAGAAATTATTCTAATATACTGATCAAGAAACATTTTATTAAGAAACTTTAAAACGTAATATTTTTGTGGAAACAGTGCCATTTTTATTCAAATTCTTTGATGAATAGAAAATTAAAAAGATCAGCATTTATTTGAAATAGAAATATTTTGTAACATTATAAATGACTTTACCGTCACCTTTAATTAATGTAATGCATCCTTGCAGAATAAAAGTATAAATGTCCTTTAAAATAAAAAAGTCATACCATCACTAACTCCATTGGTCTGAGCCTTGTACAACTCTTCCTCATCTTCTTCTTCCTCCTCTACTTCTTCTGAAGGGTCTAGGGGACGGACATATCGCCTGTGCAGGACACAATTATGACACATATGAATGGCAACCCAACTTTGGCCTTAAAAAAAACAGATCACGACAGATTTATGCACCCAAAAAACAGTGGTACTGAAATAAAAATGCACAATGACAGCATATGACCACAGAAGTTACATGAAGCAGTTAGTTACCAGATTTATACAAAGAAACTTATAATTGAATGCATCTACTAAAATATGTACAAATTGTTTTAATAATCAATACAATGCTGTTAAAAATGCATAAGTACAAAGCATCTGTATTCTGTATAATGAATGAATTTTGATTCCAGGACTAATGGCATACATAGCTGCTGGTAACAATTTTATAGCCATATTAATATTAATATTTTTGTTTTATTGTAGAACTAATGCCATAATGGTCATTGTATGTGTTTCCCTTTTATAACAAAAACACATAAAAAATGAAATGTACAACATATTCAAAACTAAACAATCCCAATATTTAATGAAAACTAGCTTGTGACAAACATGCATGACTGATTAGACTTACGCCAGTCTTTTCAGGAGGAGCTGGTAGAGATCTTCCCGTGTGCACTGGGCGCGTGGCACAGATATCAGCAGCGGGTGACCGAACAGGGAAGTGCTATAGCTGTTGCTTCCCGAGCCGTAATCTCTGTAATGGGAGCGTTCACGCATATAGATGGCCATAACCACCTCCTCACCTTCCTGACCCACACAACCACTGCTCAGCTGATACCTGCAGCAACACACCACAAAACACATTTAGACCCAGCCGACTGTCTCAAGATGCAGCTTTGATACATTTTGTTTTAGTTTTCTTTTCTTAAAAGAGGAACTTAATGCACTATCAATTTGATTTTGAAAATAAACTGCATTATATGAAATGAAATCAAAAAATCTTAAAGGCTTGGAAAAGTCAGACACTAACAACAACTGAAAAAAAAGAATATGTACTGTATATATAATTTTATATAAATATATATCATATTATGAATTATATTTTGAAAGGAAATAAAAAATATTAAAAGCTAAAGGCTTGGAAAAGTCAGGCACTAACAACAATTTAAAAAAAGAAAAAGGAATTTTTATATGAATATATAATATAATAATAATAAAAAAAACTTAATGAATCAGGCTTAATAAAAACTGTATATTTGTGTGTTGGCATGTCTGTACAATTAAAGCCGTTTACTCAGATTAGTTCTATCTTACACAAATATATCATCCCGGTCCAATATACAGCTTAAGGATTCGTCAGCCTGGTAAATCCTGTAGAAGCGGTGATTGAAAACATCAGCCACAGCCATCTGTGAAGAGCAGATCATTTATTAGCCCAGAACAAATACAACATTTGTCAGTAGTAAATCAAACTTAAAATGGATACAGGGTCATAGCATTAACCTAACCAAGATTATAGCCATAAGTAATTTGTAAACACAATTTGCCAGTGTTTCAGTGGTTAAAATGCTTGTTCGAACCTGGTTGGGAGGGATGCCTGTTGCCTGAGAGAGGGCAGTGCACAAATCAATCACTTGGCCAGCTTTAGGTACAATCAGACGATACTGCAGAGGGAAGACAGACACATTCATCAGCCATCAGGACAAACAAAACTCACAGTAAAGCAGTGGTTTTACTGAATCCTTACTAAACTTTGTTCAACAGATCTGTCAGACTACTTTGCCCTAAGCAAAACTGGTTCTGATGACATCATCACACACCACCAGCTGTCTTCCTGTTTACAAACCGGCAGTGCTACATCATTCACATCTGCCAAACTCATAGCATGGGCTCACTCATAATGAGCATGTCTGTCATGCTGCACATATGCTGCTTTTCCTGCCAAAAGTGACTGAGCATTTTGGTATTTTGCAGTTTTTTTTCAGTATATGATATAATACAAACCTGGGTGGGTTTGGCCGTGGGATCCAGCGATACATAGAACACCTCCATGACCCTCTCCTTACTAACAGGTAAGGGCACGCTCAAGTAGCAGAAGGGGTCGAAGGTCACAGAGACCTTGTTGCATTCGGGACACACCAGCGTCGACTTAAACAACCCGTGGAATGTGTCGACGATGACCGAATCGTTCCGCCGCAAATGGTTGCGCCATGCTTCCTCAGCAACTTCCTGCAATACGCAAATAGAAATGTGATTCCCATAGTAACACTTTGTTTTGTTGTGGATAAATATTGTTACACTTAAAAGGTTGGCCAATAGTGCATTTAACAGAGACTAAGCTGGAAAAACTGGTTGATAAATTAATCAGTAGATATTTTGAAACATCTATACGAATAACAACTTTCCATAATATAAAATAGAATGCAATTAAAAAAAAGATCAAATAAAATAATAATAATAAGCTTATTTGTTATAATTTGATGATTCAAAAATGAAAAAGAACAACATTTATTCAAAATAGAAATCTTTTGTAACAATATACACTACCAACCAAAAGTATGTTTAAATAAAATACTTTTATTCAGCAAGGATATGTTAAATTGATAAAGAGTGTTAGTAAAGACTAAAATATTGTTAATGCTGATAAAAAAAAAAAAAGCTTTTTAATCAAACAATTCTGAAAAAACTTAGACAATTAATAATGACTAATTAACCATGGAAATGTAATTATGAAATAATAAAAATTAATTATTCCATAAAATAAAATCATTAAAAATAAGCATGCTTCACTAGTGTCACAAAGCATTTATTACTTTTATTTCACATTTACTCAGTTTGGTTGTAAACAAGAGTGACAACAGCATTTTAAAAATGAACTATCGATAAAGTGATATGTGACGCTGATAAATATGTCATGACATTACAAGAGTAATTCTTCGTGTACTATAGCGTGTGTGTGTGTGTTCTAACTTAAAAGACATACACTTCATAACATACACTACTGTTCATGAGTTTGGGGTCAGTATGATTTTTTTTCTTTTTATATATTAATTTATTTATTTTAAAGAAATGAATGAATTTCTCAAATAACAAGAATCTATTTCATCAAGGAACCCAGAAAAATTATGAATGTACTTAAAAAAAAAAATAATAATAATAATAAAAATATGCAAATCAGCATATTAGAATTATTTTTAAATGTGACATTGAGCATCACAGGAATAAATTACATTTTAAAACATATTCAAATAGAAAAGTTATTTTTATTTTATTTTAATATTATTTCACAATATTACTGTTTTTGTGTATTTTTCATTAAACAAATGCAGCCCGCGAAGAACATAACAGACTTCGTTCAAAAATTTGACTGACCCTAAACTTTTGAACGGTAGTGCATTCCATGAATTTGTATAGCGAACAGGACATACACATTATTAGAGGATCTAAACATCACAAACTGAGCTTAGTACAAAGAATGCAAACTTCAAAGATACATAGTTTTACAGTGTTGCTGGAAAGTGGACTGGAATTTATTTTTACTTGTTATTTCGGAAGCGTTATTTAAAACAGAAGCCCTAGTCCCGATATTCATTGCAGTGATTTTACATGCAGAAAGCACAGTGAGATTGTATCTTTAATCAGACATTTTTAAGTGTCCAAATACTTTTTCCATCCATTAACAGCCTGTACTCACGTATCTTGTCTGCTCGACTGAAGCATGCAGATACAGTACTCTCCATGTTGCTAGAAAGACAGAGGTAGATCTCCACAGGGTAGACCTCTACTTTAACAGTGCTGGGAAGATCAACAACCTGCAAAGAGAAAGAAGATGATTTCACACCATTTTCAATTAATGACAAACACTGCCTATTCTGAACTTAACATCTCATTTCATTTTAATAGAAAGAAAAGTCAACAATCTGGTTAACACTACCTTTCTCTCCAAAGGAGGTTGATCGTCCATCATGTCATACCATGCCAAAAGTTTATGCCAGGCTTCTGCAGGGACCAGGACAAAGTCCTCATTCTCCGACAGCCTCTCTTTCAGATGATAGGAATCCAGATCTACAGAAAGCCATACAAAGTATTTCAAAACATCTTCTACCTCCATATTTATTAAAGGAATAGTTCACCCAAAAATTAACATTTGCTGAAAATTCTCTCACCCTCAGGCCGTTCAAGATGATGAGGAGTTTGTTTCTTCATCAGAACAGATTTGGAGAAATGCAGCATTACATCACTTGCTCACCAATGGATCCTCTGCAGTGAATGGGTGCCGTCAGAATGAGATTCCAAACAGCTGATAAAAACATCACAATAATCCACATGACTTCAGTGCATCAATAAACATATTGTGAAGCAAAAAAACTGAGTGTAAGAAGCAAATTCATCATTACGGTATTTTTAACCTTAAACCGTTGCTTCCAGCTAAAATACAAGTCCTCTATACAATAACTTTGAAGCATTACTATGGATTATGGACTCATATTCTGGCCAGAAGATGCATTAATGATGGATTTGTTTCTTACAAACATGCATCTTTTAACTTCACAAAATGTTAACTGGTGGACTGGATTACTTGTGGAGTATCGTGATGTTTTTATCGGCTGTTTGGACTCTCATTCTGACGGCACCCATTCACTGCAGAAGATCCGTTTGTGAGTGAGTGACATAAAACTTTATTTCTCTAAATCTGTTTCATTGAAGAAACAAACTTAATCTTGGATGGCTTGAGGGCGAGTAACTTTTCAGCAATTTTTTTTATTTTGAAGTGAACTACTCCTTTAAGGGAACAGATCTGCAGAGAATGAGACATTAAACACTTCATGGTGCTACTATGGGATCTTGTGTGTAACATCACACAGAATAGCAGCACTTACCTTCATAGAGCTCAGTGTTATCAATTTTCCCGGGATAGGAGGAAGAATTTTGGTCCCCGGCGTGTACATACTCTTTCCACTGATCATACCATCTTTTGTCCAACAAATACCTGCAATACAGACACATGCACCTGTCACATCCAGTGTCAGACATGGATTAAGACACCAAACACTTGTCATTTGCCTTTAAGGATGAGAAGGAATTACAGCAGTTCTGCCTTTCCTGTCCAAGGAACAAACACAAACCGAAAGTAACTTTCCCATAACAGACTGACACACCTTCTAGAGATGGAAGTGAAACTTAAAACAAGTGCATTAATGACTTAGACACAATAAAACTAGGTTATGTGCACATTTGCTTTATGTAAATGAAAAGAAATGAAAGAGTTTAAAGCGGGTAGAGTTGCTGATGTTAGAATCTGGCAAGACAAGCAAGCTGTCAAAACATAATGACACCAAGGAAGCTGTTAACCAGGAAACCCGCTCTATTAGGCCTGAAAACTGACCTGTATGTTAGTTTCCTTCTTTTATTTGATATCTGAATCATTTAACTCTCTATCACATTGGCATGGCTGCTACTAAACCTGGAGAACCTGAAGACCCTCGAACCGCACAAACTCCAGAGCGTTATAAGTTTGACAGAGTTCTGTCAATGCTTTATGTGTGTTGTAGTTGTTGTTGTTGTTTACTGAATGTTTGTTTGTTTGTTATTAAGGCTGAAGTTTCTCTCACCAGCTGTCTCCGGCCCGTAGCTGCTGCTGGTTCAGGTTGTCGATCTCCCGCCACTGGGTCTCTAGTCCCGGAGGCTCCGTAGCCGAGCCGGTGCTGCTGTTCGCAGCCATAATCACTCATAAAATCCGAAAAGCGCCGTTAAAGCCGCATAGACACACCGGAATGTTTTGACGCAGGAAGTAGGAAGCGGTTAGAATGACAACTTCCGCCCTGCGAGAGAGGGGCGTGGCGTACGACGAGAGGGCGTGTGTGATGGGAGAGAGTTGTTCGATCAAATCTGCAAAATAAATCCAAAACGATATGACCAATATATTCCCACTTTAATCAAATGTATCCTAAACATTTCATTTAATTTTTTTTATTTAATTCTGCAATTTAATTCAGCAAAATGCGATTTTATTTATGTATTTAGTTATTTATACTACGTTTATATATACCGATTATATTTACAGATTCATTATTATGAATATATAAATACAAATGTATACATTAATAATTTTTCCATAATTTATTTAACTACTATTGCTGAAACGTTTTACTATTAAATGTAAAATGTCCCATAAATCAGCTAAAACTGATGATGATGATGATGATGACTATTATTATTATTATTATTACATCAAGATCTAAATATTATATTCAACACTGGAAATGGGCAGTATTTTCAGTGCAGCATGTTATGCATTACTATATAAATTCAGCTAATATAGATAATATTACATTTATACAATTATATATATTATATTTATTTATACATTTATTTTGCATTGACTAAAATATATACATTTTCGCATTTAATTAATTAATTTAACTATTAACTATTATTATTGTAAAATGCTGAAAAATGTCCCCATAAATCAGCTAAAACTCATTTATACTAAATTAGTAGTAGTAGGCTACAGTATGTCACGATAATATTCCAACACTTAAACCTTTAAAATGGACATTGAATTTGACAGCGAAAAATTTACAGTGCTACATGTTATGCATTCAGCTATTACTAATATAGATAAATAAAAAGCATTCAAATGACCTAATTTCTTCATTCTTGTTATCAGAGAATGGGTGTTAGGTTATGCAAGTAACCTAAAGTTTTGGCTGTAGGACTATGCATTTGGCTCAAGATGGCAGTGTTTGACAAAAATACACAGACACTAGTGCAGGGGTGCCCAAACTCAGTCCTGGAGGGCCGGTGTCCTGAAGAGTTTAGCTCCAACCCCAATTAAACACACCTGAACCAGCTAATCAAGCTCTTACTAGGCATACTAGAAACTTGAAGGCAGGTGTGTTGAGGCAAGTTGGAGCTAAACTCTGCAGGACACCGGCCCTCCAGGACCGAATTTGGGCACCCCTGCACTAGTGACTCGAGTCACTTAAATCAGTGGTTCCCAACCCTGGTCCTGGAGGCACCCCAACACTGCACATTTTGCATGTCTCCTTAATCAAACACACCTGATTCAGGTCATCAGCTCATTAGTAGAGACTCCAAGACCTGAAATTGGTGTCAGAGAAGACATGCAAAATGTGCAGAGTTGGGGTGCCTCAAGGACCAAGGTTAGGAACCACTGACTTAAGTCACCCAGCAATTGATTGATTTATTGATCAATAAAGGACCTTTGAACTAATCTGATTAATCTTGTAGCATAACATTTTGGTTGTCAGTGTGGGCACAAGCACTGTTCAAATTTGCCTTGATACCTAAGAGATTTTTTAATGATCTTTATTCAAAACAATGCAAACTAATAAATATAAGCTGACAAAGCTCATGTTCTAGAGGCTGCAGTGCTTGGAATTTAGTTATTTTCTTCCTGAAGGTGGTGACGACTTTAAAGTGATAGACAAAACATGGATGACTAGACAGGCACCGTTATGGCTTTGAGAACACACATGCCCAGAGTCTCTTTTTTAATACATTGAAAATATGTCATTTCAATTATTTGATTCTATTTCCTGAACTTCTCGTGGCCCCTGCATCTTTAGGCTGGCAAATGTGTCATTGTCATAATTCCATATTTCTGACTGACGGCTGATTGATGTGCGATGTTCACTCTGGCGAGCCTTTCAGTCTCTCTGTTGCAGCCCTGTGTTTAGACTCCTATTGCCCCATCATCAGATGTCGTAATTTCTTCACCTCCAGCGCACACGTCTGTCATCTAGGTTTAGTGTTAAGGCGTACAGACTGTGAGTAAACTGTGCTGGCAATGGCCTAATGGTTCCTCTGTTGTCAACATAGAGAAAAAGAGATCATATGTTGTAAAAAAGAAAAATCTCCACCATCTTTTCCGGCCCATTATGTGTTTTTCACCTACATACTGTCACGCATTATTTGAGCACTTATGTAAATAGGGACAGAATGATTCTCTTTAATACACATTCATATTTATACCCAAGTAAAGTGGTTTGTGCATTGCATGTAACAATGCAATAGCAGTGCGTGCAAAATACATGAGAACTTGGACGTGTTAGAATGCATTAGCATAGCACAAAGGTATCATGCGACGTAAAAGTATTCCATATGATTTGTGCAGTGAATCTTCTGATTTTGTACATCATTGTATTATTATTCACTGTGAGCTGCAACTAAAATTGTGAGTCAGTGAATCAGGGAGTTGAACTTGAGAACTGTATGAGACTGATTCCATTAAGATTTCATGAAATAGATCATTTGCATATGGATTCTCGTTTTGCGTTCCATTTTAAAAAAAATAACAGAATATTGGTTTAAAATAAAATGGCTGTATGTAAGTAATGATACATATACTTAATACAAGTATATAAGTAAATAATATAATTAAGCATATAGAAAACATTATGAATGCTTAAAACAATGATATGAGCAAAGAAAACAACAGGTCTTGATGTTATTAAAAGATTTACGTATTTTGTTCTCAGGCATGCGTGGAAAGCCCACACAACCATATATATTTTATATATCTAGTTTCTATGTATCAAACATCTTGCTGTAGGGTTTTATTGAATGATTTTTTGAGAACAGAAACACTGAACTAAGAAATATTCAGAAAACAATTAGTTTTATTCACAGCACAGCGTCCCACTGTTGTTATTTCATGTAGGAATTATTCTGGCAAAGCATTCTGACCATCAGCAATCTGTTTAATTACAATTGATTGCTTTGCTCTTTCTATTATCGATTGTACCATTCAACATCAATACTGCTTCAAATATGACATCTTCATAGACACAGCCGTGTTGTGTTGCATTTTCTTAAGCATTATGAACTCAGCAGAATACATGGACATCCTAAATCACTAATGTAAAAAATAGCAAAGACATAAACTACATTTCTTTAATGTGATGTGAGCAAAACACAGCAGTCATGTTACTCATGTAACACAGTAAGACTTTTCAGATAGAGTTTCCCATGCATATTCTCAATCAGACACAAAATAACTCGCTCAAAACACAAAATAATACATCCATTAAACCTTCTGCAGATTCCTCTATTTACAATGTTAAACAAGTTAAACTGTACATTGATCTTTAACATGGTGCACTCTGGATGCTGAATTGATATTTAATTCTACAGGTTTCTTTATAAAAGCACCAACATGTCTTTGGCCAAGGAGATCAATCATCAGCATTAAATAAATAAATATATTATTTCAAAAAATACAAATAAATAAATAAATAAAAGAGCTAATTAATAACACCTAGTTAGAATCATTTAAATAAATAGATAAGATGCACAAAGCTATCAAATACACAACTGGCTTAAAATAGTGTCTACTTCAATATTTGAGCTTACAATCTAAAATAAAATCGTGTGTTATGAGCTGACAAAGCAGTGACTTTGCTGTACGGTTAAAGGTGAGGAGAGTTGTTCTTCAGGGTCAGTCAGGATCTGTATTTTTATCAAATTTATCTGGTGGTCTTTCATTAAGTTTTTTCTTCTTAGCATGTCCAAAGTTGCACTGTTTTAAATGTCTCATGCTAAAACTTCAATAAAATAACCACACAATACTTTTTCTGAGGTAAAAATGGGACAAAAAGAGATTTTTCCAAATTGCATTGTGCGATCCGCAAAAATCCTTTGGATGAGAAAGGCTTTTGGGCACATTCTATCTATGAAGCGTTTCAAGTGTTCGACAAAGATGCTCAATAAAGAATTTCTGTTCGCAGTGTTAGCAGTTTGTGCTTCACAGTCAGTAACATCGGCTTTATTAACGTCCTCACCTGGCATCACAAAATACAACACAGCAAAACTCCCCCTTTGACTCTGTTCCTCAGTGATTTGAGATCCAGACAGCTGTTCCAAGGGTCACCTGTAAGTACAAAGACAGATCTGTGAATATGAGATACTCAGCAACACTCAGCAAAAAAGTAGGTTGTACTTCACATGCGTTTTAAAGGGATGCTACAAAGATTGTACATCAAAGTAGAGGCAAACTGTCTGCAAGAAAACATAAAATAGCCCCAAACCAACCAGCAAAGATTGCCTGGCTAGCATGATTCTGTTAACCTCTGCTGGAAGACACTGTAACTACACCTGCAAAAAAGTATATTTCACTATTTATGGCCATCTATTTACAGTTTTTTTACAATCATTTTTGCACTAATAACAGAACCTTCATGTCATTTTTCAAAACTTAGACACACAATTCACAACATTTTTCAAAACACAACACTTTTTCCAAATGCTTGGATACAATACACATGGTACATACACGATCATTTGTTCACTGAACTAAAATCACTGGTTCAAAATGACACAACTTAACATCAAAGTATTCCTATTTCAAAATGCAACTCATACATTACATCTGAATTGAGTGTCTATTCATTCCTTTACAATTATCTAACTATCAACTAATACAACTGCTCAAAATGCTACATAACGGTTTCATTACTCTTGAGGCATAGTTTTTATGGAAAATTATGAGCAATATTAAATGTTTAGATTATGAAAGTGAAGCAACTGAGTATGATCAGTTTCAAGATGCCTGTTCTTAGGAGAAAAATTTATTCTATATCATTGTTATCAGTATTTGTTTTTCTTACAGTAAATTTAGAGGGTGCTAGAGCTGGAAGCTGATGAAAACCATTCATATTTTTGGATGAGGCAAGCTTTACCCTGGCCATGACATGGAGGAGAGGTTGAGCGCCCAGCAGGTGAGAGGGGCCCAGAACGATGTTCGCTGGGGGGCCTGACCACCCCTCCATTGAATGTGAATTTGAGGGGACCCCATAGCAAAATCAATGCA